AAATGGGAAATAGTATAGAGAGGGGACTGGGATTTAGTAGAGGGGGATGCTGTTTTTTTATTTTATACTGTACTTTTCAAAGCAAACCTACGTTTCAATGAAAATTAAAGTTTGGGGGGTTTTTTTGCGGCCCACATGAACTTAAACCTTGTTTGTAGTGGAGAGCTGGTCTTTCACAGGTTAACTCCACTAAAGATCCCAGTGAGGCTCAGGAACAAGTAATAAAATCCCATAGAACAATGTTCACAGCAAGCAAGGTAATCCACGAATATCCCCATACAGATCCCAATGACTGGACGACACACAGCATCAGGAACAGAACTCACCTTTTAATCACACAACCTTCTTTTAAAGCTTTCTCCCATGCAAGGGAGGGATTCACAGTAATTATTACAGTAGCCAATAGTGTAACAGTTACCTCCCACACATCTCCCCTCAGTGTGAAACATAATCCCATTAAACATACTATAGTTTTCCCCGATTTCTGAATGTACCCCAAAACAGGCAAATAGACTGATATACTGGGTACCCCCTTGTAGCCCAGATCTGGGTGAATAACATATTCAAAATTCACCCAGATCGGACAAGGGGTTCGGGAGTTAGATGGAAGGTGAAATTTGACCGCCTGCACATGAGGTAGTATCCGAAAAAGGCTCCATGTGTTTTGGCCCTGCGGTCGGTCTCCATTCGGTAGTTAAAACACACAGAAATACTTGCCATCCACAGGTAATCTCATATTCGTATGTATTCCCTTGTTCGGTACATTTATTTTACCGAAAGAGGGGCTGACTGGCCCCTCCTCTCGTGAGTTATGGAGCTCTGGAGGTCTCAGAGGTGTTCGGGTGTTTGAGTGTCCGATTTGAGTTCCAGACACTCAAAGACCAAACACCGCTGAGATTTTCTTGCGTAAGATGGCCACTGCCACGCGGTTCGTATGCCGGACGGCGACCACACAGATACACATAAAGTAGCAATTTCACAGCCAGTTAAGCTGCGGTTACAGAGTGTGAAAGCTTAACGAGGTACACACTTCTCACTGGGGTGGTTTGATGGTTCAGTAGTTTAATTCGTATGAAAACGGAAGGAAAACTACCGAACAAACAGACGAAAGCTACATACACTTACAGTTATACATGGGAATAATTACACAAATACATTTTTACCACGAATTCTTGAGGACAGCCCAATGCCATCCGCTATACTTTATTAGACCCGAGCTAGCCTTTGAGTTTGACATGCTTGGTGCAAAGTAATGTGGATAGGGGCTAGTCCTGAGTGTACCTAAAATGTTAGTTCTGTTGGTAAAAGTGTGTCCTGTCTGGTTTGTTTGGGGATTCTAGCAACAAAATTTTAGGACCTGTTGACTGGCTGCACCAGTCAGTGATCCTGGGGATGTGTTAAGATAGAGCTAGACCCGAGAGCCACAAGTGCCTTTGTAAAGGCAGTAGTTGGAGGCAGCACAGGCAGAGGTATTGATACCTGCCTGGGAGAGGAACAGAAGAGGGACAGGCAGAGGGGACAATACATGCCTGGAAGGCAAGAGTTGCAGCCTGATCTGGTAAGGATGTCCTCAGAAACCTTAGTCGAGATTTGGTGACTGGGTCTGAACCACTACAGAGTCCCTTGGTAGCAGAGAGGAAGCTGACCTGGTGGAGGTACTCAGTTGGAGTACAGGAGCTCCATCACATCATCTGTCTAATTCGATATAGTGACTTATCACTATTCATATTTATCACAATTATAATTAATAAGTTATGGTTCTAAGTACTAGCTGTAAAACAAGCTATGCGAATTGTAATTGAACTTGGAACTTTAGACCAAAATATCTAAAGTCAAAATATAACTGACTCCACAAAGTTTTCCTATCAATTTAGTGCATTAAATTATATAGGAGATTAAAAAATAATAAAAAATAATAACACAATGAATGAAAAATAATGGGGAAAAAACAACGCCAAAAGATACTTGAAAATGTAAGCCCTTGCAGATTCAGTAAACTTTGTAGAATACGTAGTAAGCTCACATCAAACCAGGAAGCAATTATGCACAAACTGTAATATTTCCTGTAATTATTGCTTTCTGAGCAATATGCATAATGCATAATTATACATCATTTCCAAAATTTTAAATGTACAAAGAGGGGCATTAATTTTAGGGGTGTGAGTGGAGGTGCGGCCATGGGGCAAATAATCATATTTACACAGACTGATTTCTAAAAAAAAACCCACATATTTATTGTAGCTAAAAGACGTGACAATTGGGAGTTTTATTGCTGTGAATTACTGTGATACATTCAGACAAACCAACAATATGGAACTTCTAGAAAATAGGGACATTAGGATAGAAAAGAGAGACAGAGGGATTTGAGACCAAATTAGGTACTGTCCTTCTTAATTAGGGACACTTGGGGGGTATGGCAATGATTTCTGGGAGTAGTGGTTCCATTTTCAGATTTTTTTCTGTAGTACTGTAACAGACGGAGTTCAACTTCCAGAGAGTTGTAACATCATGCACAACAGAGGTTTATGAGTAAAACCTCCTCCATTACTTTCAGATTTCTATATTCTATGAATATGTTTTGTTCTGTCTCAATCCCTGAAATTGTACAGAGATATTATATATGCTGACATTTTATAAATGCAAAATAATAATAAAAGAGGGGGAAACACTTCCGTTTGGGTGGGTAAGGCAGAAAGGATAGATTTACGGTGCACAACTAATTATTCTAAATGAAGAACAAAAAGAACATTAACTAAGTGTAGCCAAATCCACTGATTCCCAACCCTCTCCTCAAGGCCCAACAATGGTCCACATTTTGCCAGTGTTCTCTTTAAACAAAATTGGAACATGCCTGAATCCTGAACTCTTGATGTGCCCTGATGGACTGGTTTGTGAACCAGTGCTCTAACCTACATCATGCACCTAATCTTTTACAGGTGCGTGGAATGCCCCTTTAAAGGGTTCCTCCAGGCACTATGACCACTTCAGTAAATTGAAGTGGTCATGATGCTTGGAGTCTTTATGTACATCTTTCTGTGCTGGAGGTGTGAGTCTACCTCCGACAGCATCATTAGCCAGGGAAAACTTGACCTCATGGTGGGAACACAGGTAAAATTATGCTTCTTTTTTTTCCATGGAGGGACCATGCCACCAGTGCTTACTGCAACCAAAAACAATGTTTTAATTAAACCCTGATTTTGGTGGGAGAAACTATTTTGTTTTGAATATTTTTATTGGTTTCACAATATACGTGCATATATCAAACTGATTTGTGACAAAGCAGGTTTTCGCCCATGCAGGGGCATAAGCATATATGGCGGAAGCGGTGGTTTAGTCAGGCATCGTGGGGCGATAGTAAATCATAGCTATTAGCATTATGACAGTGTCTTAATTGCACAATAGGTATGCTATGAAATAGGTGTACACATATAAATAGTATCTGTCAAACTTTTAAAAGTCAGAACAAACAAGCTGTTAATTAAATGTAGTGAACCTAATCTTTGCGAGAGTTAATATATCACATGTATTCAACAGGCACGGTTACTCATTATGCTGGCTGTATATTCATCTTGGTCATGCCTAGTCTTATGAGGCTCATAGTAAAGATAACATATGATTGCCTGCGCAGAGGCCAATAATTCTCTGCATTCCTTCCATATTGTGAGTTACACGTGCATAAACTTTGCAAAAATGCCTAGGCTTAGACCAATCGCGGGAA